TAATTACATAAAAAACATATTATAGAAACTTAAAAAAATCGCAGGTTCATTAAAAATATATAAATGTCTATATACAGTAATCATTGGCAAAGCACTACAACTGTAACTAGGAATAATTAAATTAAAATTAAAAAAATGCCTTTCGTCGTACCGGTCATCGTGGGCAATATTTAGATTCAAGTGATCCACCATAACCGATTTCCATATTAGTGTAGACTGAAATATTCTAGTTAAAGGTACATTGTTATTACTATGTTATGGTATACAATTCAGACGCAAATTTTTAGTATCGACTACTAACTTATACTACACTACGGGACAGTTATTTTTAAACGTAACAGGGAATTATTGGTATATAGGCTTATAGAATAGGAATATCTTCCGGATCCGATCCGTCCGCCCAGCACCGAGAATTCAAACCATTTTACTTAAGCCACATAGCTGGACTTGAGGAAATTACAGTAGGTACTCGCATCAGTGTAACACTATATTAAATTGTCACCCTGATAACGCATAATAATACCACCCAAATCGATGTTGTTTTATAAAGATGGCTGCGCTCCAGAATAATATTATTATACCTTTCACGATTATTCGGTAACATTTTCAAAATCAAAAATCGACATGTGTAAATCTAATGAGACGTGGAATATTACGACGCAATTATTCGTTGTGCACGGGTAGGTATAGGTAAGTCGGATCGGCTCACTCGGATAACAACAATTTTTTTCCAGAATTTTACACCTGGCAATAACAATAATCCTCCGAGAACGAAGACTTTAATGAGACGTCCAGCAGACGATGAGTTCTTCCGTTTTGCACGCATCAAGCATCGGATGGAATGCAATGACGTGTGCCATTTATTCATGTGTAATATTACGAGAGTCGGATACTGTGTTTGGATATAAAATCCTATGCCATGTGACCACGATTTCGACGACGAATTTTATATCGCCGTGTCAGGGAGACGCAGTTCCTTCATTCCGGAAATAAGTTCCCCGGCTCAAATGAGCCAAAACGATTGAATTGATTTCCATTTTCAAGTTACTCGCGACATATTTTGCTCATAAACACTCATTATACTCGCGATGGTATTGCAAAACATAGTAATATATGTTTAGTAACAACGGAAAAAAGTGTACCTATAACTGATGACCCGGTACAATAGTATCGATAAATTATATGACACTGTTAAATCGAGACAAACAGACGTGACAAATTTCAGTGGATACGTTCTCTGCGACTTTGTGGACGAATTATAGTGAACACTGTATAATATTAATATCAAAGTGAAAATCGACATGAAGAATATAAACTATTGTACTGAACACGATTAATTCCGACGGCAATAAGTTGAAAATAACTGCAAAAAACGGAATTAAGCAGAATAATAATTGGTAGAACAGCCCAGTAAAATAATATTCCAGAGAGTTATCAGATGACCTATTCATCGACAACAACGAAAAGTATAGCCAATGTCAAACAATATGAAGTTGCAAAAACTTTAAGAGTTCTATTTCAGAATTAATGTATGAATTGTATTTTCACACCCTGTCCAGCTGGTATTATGTTACGAAATTAATTTATTCTTAACTGCGTAAAATTGTATACATATAATGTCCTATAATATAATTTTTCAAATTAATTTTTTTTATACACATTTTTCGGTTTATTTATTAACTTTTTTATTAGTCTTTTTTCAGATGTTGACTCTTTTTCTTATTTTTTTCATTCATACAACGGCGATAACCAGTAAAAATCCACTCTGAAATAGACCACCAATGGAAATTTAAAGGCAAATAAAGTGCCTGCGCTCAAATGACCCGAAAAGTGAGCTCATATTACCCATGTCTATTTTGGGGTACCAAAAATAAGGTAAGTACCAACGCTCAAACGGGTGACGCCCAGCAAAGTACCTTAGCAGTTTTATAATAATATGACTTATGATGACGCCAACAATGTAATGCGAGGTTAACCAGGTTAACCGCATTCCGTCGGTGTCTAATCTTAGTGTCAGATTTTCCGCTGAAAAGCAGCAGTTACACAGTTAATTATTACTTATTATTAATCTTATTGTACTCGTGGCCATTGTCTAGTTTGAGTACAACGCTATCGTGGTCGGTCGTTGTATTACATTAATTACCTAATAATATTATTATATTATTATAGACCTTTGCTCCGTCGACTCAGTTGCCTGCGATCCATATTTTATTCGATAGCCACGGCGGTATTATAATAATATTGTATTACTGTGCCAACTTTACATCTGGTGCTGTTTATATATTTTTCAAACGACTTCCGACCCATTTACGAACTACAGACGTTTTCATCTAAATCAAATATTAATCATTAAGACGAGGACAACAGAACTGTCTAGGCGGTTGTTTCGACCGAGCCAACAAACAAAAAACCACTCAACTCTCAGACGACTATAGCTGATACATAGCACAAAATCAATACCTTTTAACGTTTGACAAGTGACTCTAAACTTTGAAAAATCTAATCCAATATAATATATTGTGTATATATATATTATATATATATAGCATTTCTTTTGTTTCGTGTAATGCTAGTCGCAGAGTATTTCAGTGTAAACAATATCATTAAGTTAAAGTATTAATAATTTCTACGATATTCTTCTCTGCACGCTGAACTCCACTCGTCTCGGTCGCGGGAATGAATAAAAATAAAAATAAACGTGCCCACAAGACATTGCTTATTATTGTATAATATTATTACACATATTATCCGTAATGGAGAATAACAACGGTAAACGACAATGTGACTACACTACACTATCATACTATTATATAGGAAGAATTGCCTTTATTGGACTGGTGCTATTTGGACCACTCTCGTTGGGTAATGGTCCCAAATTATTATTGAAAACCATAATAATGGAACAATATTATATGTACGTGCACAATTTATAAAGTCTTTGAAGGTATTTTATGATGTCCTCCTATCAGTAATTCTAATGCAATTATTGTCAAATTGTAAAATTACCTCCAAATTTTTGTTTATTTTTTTTTTTACCTTCCCTATAGAAAAAAATATTGAATATGATCAAAAACCATTTTTTAACTTATTAAAAAAAAAGCAGGTAAGTGGATGTCGCTCAGCTGTACAGTAGGTTACAAGTCGGTCATTGTTTAATGGATTGTATTAAACTTGAATTCAATGATATAATATCATTGTATAAGAAAAACGATTCTGAACGGAGACGGTTTGTCAGTCTGTATATTTTATATTGTCATTAATTATTTTATTTATTTAATTATTATTTTTTTATTTGTTGCTACGGTGATAAACAAATTGTTAGAAATTAAAATCCCATTTTAAGCGGTTTTTCGTAATTTTTCAGTACTTTTTCCCGTGGCATTAAATAACTATTGAGAAAATCGAAAAATGACCTCTCTAAAGTACCATCTTGGTCCAATTTGCTAAAAGATAAGGTACTATATGTTGAAATCAAAGTACTCCTTCTGGTAGAAATTTTGTATACAGGATATAAAAAAAATAAAAAAAAATAAACACCATTGTAAAACCACTAGCTTCCTTGCTCCGCTCAGAATCTAAAATGTAGTACCTATAGGTTGACGAAATTTAAAGATTTTTTTTTTTACATAATAAAATTGTTTTTAATGGACAATTTTTTTGTTTTAAATTGGAAAATAACAAAATATTGAAAACTGTCCCTTATAGGCAACTCTCTCCTCTATATATTATGGTGAATGGAAGAAGAAAAATCGATAGTTTTAATTAGTATAATTGATGCCTACAAAAGCATAATACTGAATGACTATATATATATATATTATATGCTGACTTATACTGACTGTACGTGTATTGTTTGTCCATTTATATTATTTGTCTATCTCGCTCATCATTGATCTAAATGATACGACTCTAACGAATAAATGTATAAAGAAAAAAAATGACACATTAAAAACCAGCTCGGAATAAAGACACGATTACTGTACATGAATTAATAACAATAGTATGCTGCCCGTTTTAGGTTACCATTTTGGTCAACTTGGATTCACACGAAAGCGGTTATTCTACACATCGTTTGATGTGTCGATCCAAATTACGGAACGGTAAAAGATGATAACCACTACCTGATTACAAAAATCCACGGTAGTATTGAGCGATTTTGGCAACGGATGTTCTGAATATTAATGATAATATATAGATTCGTCGATTCTTGTATAAATATAGTAGGTACTTATAACGTTTTTATTTCCCATCTCCTCAGGAGCGATTATTGTTCAAGCACATACTTGGGTGACGATGGATCTATACAGTGGCAGATTTACGACCGAGGGCGGTAGGACTTAAAGGGCGGACCCTCCGCTCGGAATGTCGAAAATCATCGCTTACAGGTTTTCATCGGTATTCCGAGAATATTATAACGACTCCGCGCCTCGCTTTATCGGCATGGGCTGTCTGCCAAGCATTTTGTTTTGCATATTTTGAGTTCAAATAACTACTACTTGAACTTAATAGGTAAGCTAACAAATATGGCAGCTCTCGAGGTTCGTTCGTAGACTGTGATGTTTAAACAGGGCCGACCAATCTAAATAACAGCTGCAGCCGTTTAAACCAAAACCTAATGGAAACCGCGGAACAGAAACACAATTTTTTTTTATGACAATATAAACTAAAACTTTCAACTTTAGCGAGGAAGTTTTAAAGTATAAAAAATATATTATGCTTATGCCTACATACCAGTGTTTTCGCCTAATTATTAACAATAATATGGTTACACTGGAGGTGCAGGTTCGCTGCTCTAACTATACCTATTGCATTAGGTTATATTATGTGGGATATGCTTTGTTAGTGCTGAGGGCTAGGTTACATTTTGGTAAGATATCGAGTATGTTCGCGGCAGTAAGAATGATATCGCTTTCGTATTGAACCGGCCCCAAGAATTTCGTCTTATTTTCGCGATATAATTAATAATAATTAATATAGCAGTCGCCACCTATATGACTTACAGACATGAACGTCCTCTTGAGACTGTGCGTGGACTTGGACACCAGCGTCTTGTGTTTGTTCGGCTGCTCGTCACTGTTGGCCTTCAACACGAACCCACCTCGGGTGTCGTCCAGCTTCTTGTCACGACCCTCGCTACCAATTACCGGGTCTTCGGACGCACTGCCCACCTTGTTGTGCGCATCGTCGCTGCCCAACGACGACAGGGAATTCCGGATGTCCGATTTGTTTGGCTTGGAATGAGATGCCATCCCGAACCGAGCACTGGTCCGGACGCCGTATCCGTGTCGCATGCCGCGCATCCACTGCCCTTGAAACGTCCCTTGAAAATAAAACGTGCAAACACATTGTTAACTCGCTGTGAAAAAATCGACAAATTATTCAAGACTATATTTACACCTAATACAGTAGGGCAAACGAATAAACGTCACGTAAGATTTTATATAAATGTTATATAATTTTATACAAATCGTTCATTAAATTTTTAATCTCGACTTTTTCAGAACTGATTTAGACTTGATTTTAGTACTTATTTAATTTAATTTGAAATTGTTATTATTTATAATACCATAAAACTAAAATATGGTCATAAAAACAGTAAGCAACTTAATATTTTATAATATATAGCTACACTGCGGCGTATTTCATAATTTATTTTGATAATCCTCAGTAATATATACAAAAATATATACGTCCCGAAAGAAAATTTACAACCACTCGAATGCTATTGATACTATATAAAATAAATCGTGTAGATCCCAGGACCTATTAATTAAAATTTTTACTTCGATTATGAATAATATTAATATTCAATACGATTTACGAATTAATTTGTGAACAAAACATATAATATTATAAATAAAAAAAAGGTAGTTTTTATGCACCTATTACAATGTTATAATATTATTAGTACCGTGTTTTGATAGTAAATTAGAAATGTGTTATACTCGTATGTTATTATAAGAAAATTATTATTATTCACCTACGACAAAGTTGCTAATGTAATTTTCGCAAAACGTATAATACCTCCATTTCGGACGATGCTCCGAGTAATGGCAAAAAAAATGGGATTATTTAACAACTGCAGTACCTACCTAATTGAGTAGCTCTTTCATTAAATTAAATGGAATTTGTGATTAAAAGTAATATTATATAATTAAATGCCATTGATACTTTATTTTTATTATTGGGTTATAAGTACCTATCGTGAATTTTTTATTACTGTCTGAACTCGCGTGACTGTATCTACCTACATAGTATACATATTACCTTTAAAATTGCAAAAATGAAATGAAAAGAGGAATGTAAAACAACTTTGTAATTTTATACATTGAAAAATAAATTGTTTACGTTGAAAATCAAAAGGTTCAAAAGGATTTGGTTGATATGCATACACCTATATACATTTTCAATTTACCTTGAATAGAAAAATAAAATTATAATAAAGTGGTAACATTAATATAATAATATAATATATAATACGAAATGTGATGTCTGGTGTAGCTTTGAGACTAGGTAGTAGGTACCCAAAGAAGCACTAAAATGTCATATAATTTGGAATTCAAATGAAATACAAATCTTACTGTTGTATATATTTTATGTGCAATTTCGGCCAATTTGTGTGGTAGCTTATATTTAAACAATTCATATTGTGTATAAATAATGGTATTTTTTTTTTTGCAAGACGGTAGAATAATAACATACACAGGATGGATAGTGAAATAAATCCAAAAAAGTGCAAGCTGTATTGTATTAGTATAATATTTTTGTACGAAGGTCACCGTTGACGTTATTATATTATTTTCTCGATAGTATAGAAAATAATTTATTTGAGTACCTATTCCGCGTACATACAAAAGGCTGCAGTGAACAATAAACAAAATCAAATTTTAATTTGAAAAATAAGAACACGCTATATGGACTGTATTCAATAATTATATTTATTATATATTTTATAATGGAATGAATGCTACCTTAATAGGGTCCTTATTATATTATTATTATTTTGATCAAATCAGACCTGAATGAAAATATATTTACAAAGTGATTCACAAAACATGGTCATCCCCATGTTTTCATTTAATAATTAATATTTATTCAAATTCTGATTTTTGGTATTTTGAAATATTTTTAGTCAAAGTTATTTTAAAATCCTTGAAGGTTTTTGTACTAGGTACAATTGGGAGTGTCCTTTACGGCATAATAAACTTCTTTTATTCAAATTATAACCTCACATTTCACTGGAAATTATTTAGTACACATGTTTTTTTTTTAAAATGTTGAAGAAGGTATCTAAGTAAAAATTCAAACGATTAGTTTTTCATCTGTTAAAATGTTTATATTGAGGATAATAGCCCATACAAATGGTTTTACAATGATATAAAATAGAATATTTAATAATAGATCTAGTACTTATTGTACTTGGAACATTTTTAATATAAACTATAAAACAATTTTAATTACCGTTATAGCCCCCATATCTTCCAAACTCATTATTTATTTATTTATTTTATAACTCAACGGATTTACAATATTTACAACTTTTAATGTGGTATAAAGGACCAATAATGTGTAGAATAAGTGAAGTTAGAGAATATAATAATTATTATGTAGAACGCTAAGTAATTATATCATGTAAGTATCTACATCATCATCATTAATACACAAAAACAAATAACTTAAAAACTTCTCGTTCGAATTTTGATTATGATAAGTCTAAATTTGTATTCACTGAATAATTTATAGTAAATAGATGGGTGGTTTGTGATACCACAGAAAACTCCTTAAGTAATTGAAAAAAATCCTAAGAATTGGAAAATGTAGTCTTTAGTAAAGGTATTTAAAAATTCCAAAAATCAGAAATTGAACAAATTCATTGTTAAAGAATAAATTAGGGGTGAGCATTATGGCGAATCACTCTGTATATATAAAATATAAACATATACCCATATTTTGAAATATGTGACCCAGCATTGATTTATAACCGTTCAGCTTTGAAAGGAAAAACAGAGAGCACAGACAATCCTTATTCGTCATTGGTGATCTACATAATATCTACTACGTACGTATATAGCGAGAGATGGTACTCGAGTCGATCGTATATTTTACATATGTGTACAAGTGCACCTCCTTCAGAATCAGTATATTATTATGCACGTCCCGAGTCCTGACCTATTATCGTGTGTAGGAAAACTGTCAGCTAGATTGTATATACCAGTGAGTATAATAATATAGTGATCGTATATAGTTGAAAATGAAAGGAAAAATACAATGTAAGTAAGAACCCGGGGTTTTGAAATTTCATGAAATTTATTTTCTTGGAATACATTTTAGTCTATGTGAAAAAAATAAAAAAATAAATCTTGAATTGAAGAAAAAAATTATCTTGATATTATATTATAGTTGAATAGCTGTACCTATACTGAGACCGAGGGAACATTTTTAAAAATATTTCGTGAAGAGTGAAATTTTAAATTCTAAAAATAAAAAATATTTCAATCGAACAAGAAATTTCAAATGGAATATCGAAACGAAAAGCGACGTTTATTATTATTACATTATTGCAGCGTGACGTTATATTATATTATATTTAATTTTTTCTAAACGGTAAGACATTATCGCAGGTAGCATAGTAATAAAGTAATGATATACGTAAATCAACTTTTATTTTAATTTTATTTTCAGTTCACTTTTAATACGAACTCATCTCATCCGTATTCAACCATAATAATATAATATGCTCATCGGACGAGCTCGCAACTTGGTTATTATATTTTATTTTCCTTTACAGTTTGTATTTAGTGTTTGTCACAATAAATTATATTATGTAGGTATAAGATTAAATCCGTACCACCGTCGGCGTACGTCTCTGACCCGTAGCCGTCTTGCAACCCGTTGGCCCAAGTCCCCTCGTACTTGGCGTTGGTCGTGGCCGATTGTCTGACACCGTACCGGCCTTTGAAACCTTGTGTCCATTCTCCTCTGTACAGCCACCTCCCCCGGGACTCGACGCCCAACCCGTGTCTCTTGCCGTTCTGCCATTGGCCCTCGAAAGTGTTACCGCTGCAAAAGACAAATCACACGTATTAAAATAATATTGTTACGATTATAATATGCGTTTATTTCGACCATAATAATAAAATCGTATCATATATGAGTGGAAGACACGTCTAAAATAATTATTACTATGCCTTAATAGTATATAGCCCGTCTGGTTCAGTTTGGCGCTCGCCAACAGTTACGATTTAAACAAAAAAAAAAAAAAAAACAGTGATCCGAAAACTATATTATCGGTACCTATTGAAAAACATATTGGTATACCTAGTTTAAGGACCACTGATTTGTTTAAGATCGTAACGGTATTAACAAGTGCCAAGATGAACTGGACGGGCTGTACTATTAAAGCATAGTAAAGTATTGGACTTGATAGCAGTTGTATGTTTATTATTTATTAGTTGCAGTCGTCTGCTGCAACTATATACAATCAACAAATTGTATCGTTAAGCGATCGCTCGATCTCCTACTATAATTATATAATAACTATGTTAATAATAAAACAATGTCATTATTGTCAGAGCCAAGTTAAGGTTAGGCCAAAGGCACGAATAGAAGAAGTTCGAGGGTTCAAGCACCCTCTGTAATTTTTTTTTTTTTAAAGGCAAGAAAAAATATTTAATAAAAAATAATTGAAATATGTACGACCAAATTCAAGTAGGTACCTATAGATATATTATTTAAAACTATATTATTATTATGGAACACTGAGAAAAAAAATGAAAATGGATTTGAATATATTAAATACATTTTAGAGACGAATAATATTATGTTATTTCATTTTTGTAATAGGTAGATGTATTAAATGCCTATAAACAACATTATAAAGTCTTTTTTATTTACAATTTTGGTAGAAAATCGTAAAATATTGTTTATTTTTTAAAATTTGTATACTTTATTAATTATTTTAACTACCTATATGTTGTGGTGATCGTCCAAGAGAACAGAGAAACATATTCTGTTCACGTTACTTGTGTTGTATTAAACATAAGACAAAATTCATGATCTCCAACAACCTCCAAAACTATTAGTCATACTTATATAATAGTCGAAAACCTTCCAACAACCATTAAGTATTATGCAATTTAGTCAGGGGCGTCATTTGGGGTATTGCAGGGTATGCCTATGCATACCTAAAATTATCAAGATGCAATTTGGCCAGACTATAATTTTTCTGCGCCGGGCAAAAATTATCCTTTTTAGATTCTGAGTGGACCGATAAATGTATTGATTTTACAATGATGTGTTTTTTTAATTTTTTAATTTTTAATTTTTTTTTGTGTCTGTGTACACGATAAGTAGTCGAAATAATGCTTCGATTTTCAACTTCAGTATCTTGTTCGATTGGAAAGTGAATATCGTTGGTAGTTTAGCTATTTAGCTATTTCCCAGTAGTTTTCAAAAGCGCAGGGAAAAACAAAAGAAAATATAAGGAAAACGGGAAATTTTACGTCAAATCTGTTTTCGAGAAAATCGATTTTGGTTTTTGGTGTAACTTTAAAACAAATGACCGTAGATACATGAAATTTTCAGTGGTTGTTTATATTTGCATTTTCTATACACGATAACATTTTCAAAATATTTTGATTTATTTTTAACTGTTTAGGGACATTTTCAGTTTCCAATTTTATTAGTTTTTTTTTTATGAATATCAATAAAAATTTATTTGTTGAGTAAAAATACTTGAAAATTTAATACAAGGCTCCTACTATATTGTTTCAAAGACAGATGAAAAATATTAAAAATCGTTGGCCACAGTTTTTTTTTTTAATCATTTAAAGTTCAAAAAATGACAAAATATGGAAAAATCACGAAAATTTGAAAATTATTTCGAGTTAGAAATTCATAAAAAATTTTCTTTTAAAATCTAAGATATGAAAATGTAATACAAGATTCCTTATAAGATTTTCTACATTAATCAAAAAAAAAAAATTCTATAAGAAAGTCAAATTAAATTTTTATGAGCGTTTGAAATTCAAATTTTACAACATTGGATATTCACTCGATTTCTCATGTAGCGATTTCCTTATTTTGTTGTAATTCAAAAACAAATAACTGTAGATAAATGAAAATTTCACTGAATGTTCATATTAGCATTTCCTATACACCATACAATTTTGAAAATATTTTGACTCTTTTTGATCCGTTTACGGACATTTTCAGTTTTCAATTTTTTTTGTTTTTTTTTTCTATAAATATCAATAAAGTTTTATCTGTTGGGCCAAAAAGTGTAAAAAATTAATACAAGGCTCCTGATATATTGTTACAATAGCAATTGAAAAATATTAAAAATACATTGGCACAATTTTTTTTTATAAGCATTTAAAGATCGAATTTTGACAAAATTTATCAAAATCTTGAAAATTATCAATCATCGTAATTAATAAATTATAAAATGTTCAGTTTTTATAGCTAAGGATTGAAAATTAAAAAAAAAGATTCTCATAAATAGTTCATACTGTAGCCAAAAAATCTAAAAAAATATATGAGCACAGTTATTTTTTACAGACATTTTAAATTCATATTTGGACAAAATTACATATTAAAAAACCTAAAATAACTATTTTAGTTATTTGTTGTGATTGTATAATATTATTCGTGGGTACTTGAAACTTCTAAAGTGTACTATTATATATCTATGATAGTATCACGGTTTGTTGTTGATGTATAACGCTTATAAGTACCTAATGGATATTGTGATATGATTAATTTGGAATTTATTATAGGTACCTAATATAGGTCAATTTTTTGTTTAATATCATAGATATGTATATAATATGTCTTATACCTAGACTGACGTACCGTCTCCGCTCAGTATCGTTTTTCTAGTACAATGTTATTATATCGTTGAATTCAAATTTAATATCATCCATTATACAGTGACCTACTTGTAACCTACTGTACAGCAGATTGACATCCACTTGCCCACCTTTTTTTTTTATATATATAATTGGTCTCGTTTATCGGCATCTATCATTTATGGTTTATGCTATATCCCCTATAAGACCATACGCCGTAGTAGATAGTAGATAAATAACTTATGTGTGATTAAAGATTTCAGAATTTGTTTTGTTTTCCTTAGTGTTTATAAATATGAAATAATGATATTGAAAATAAAATAATTTACGTTTTAACTGTGTAGTATTGGGTGTACAATATTGGTTTTATATGAAATTATTTGATTGATGAAAAATAAAACTTTCGAGCGGAGGCGAGAAAAAATTTTTCTTCTAATTATTATAGTGTATATAATAATATATATTGGCCTGCTGAAAATTTTTTGGCCTGCCCTGATGTTAGCATACCTTTAAAAAAGTTGAAATGACGCCCCTGAATTTAGTGTATAATATTTATTATTAACTGTAATATATTTCCGTAATAAAGTTTATTATTATTATTTTAAAGTAAACAATATATTACCTATTTGAAATGTAATTGCGTATAAAACAAATTCAAATAAAAACAACTGTATATATATTCGTTGAACATGTTATACCTGTTTATGTAGAAACAAAAAAGGGGTTATAAGGCTTCGACAATATTGGGTTATTATTTGTTTTTTTTTACAGAAAATAAATAAGTAATTGTTTACTTGCAATTTATGTTTGGATCAATTACAGTTGAGCAACATATCAAATAAATGCATCATGGTATAAAATAATATTATCGTTTTTTATCGGTCTCAATTGTAATATTTGTATGTAATCATTAAAAAAGAGATGGATAACTGAACGAGTTACTTTTTAAAATGAAATTTTCATATTTTTTATATATAATTATATATCTTGAAAACCCTAATTTAAGTACAATAACAAGGTTGAGTATAAAAATAATTGCTTGACACGTTATATTCAAACGTTATTTTATTTGTATGTTCATACTAAAGAACAACATTTTTTTTTCGATTATTTTAAACAAATATTTACGTTTTAAACATTATAATCGGAAAGAATGAACTAAAAAAGACTCAAAAGATGTTTTAATTGAATATCCGAATTTGATTATTAATTATGAACAAATAATAATGGCTGTGTAGTGTGTATAACATAATAATTTAATAGAAAAATTATTTAAAATAAATAAAACGTAAATATTTCAGAACATTCAAATAATTAATAAGTAAACCTACTTATTAATTATTTCAATGTTCTATTTACGTCGTTCTGTTTTGAAAAAATATTTTCATAAAATGAATAACTGTTAATATAAATAAACATTAATAATGTGAAAAAATTGTCTTTCACGTATAATATTTGAAAAACATTTGTTATAATATAAACTATATATTACTAAGAAATTCTAAATTATTAAGTGGAAAAAAACACACATTTTAAATCTAAAATTTCCAACAAAATTTGAAATATAAGTAGGCTATACTTAGATGTACTGAAATGTTGTAGTTATAGCTAGGTTAGTTTAGGTACCTAAAAACAATAAACAATTTTTTATAATCGAGTACACTAATATTGCAGAATTTATCGGTGATCGTTAGACAAAAATCTATACCTAGGTATTATATTAATATCTAGCTATATACTTTAATTTCATTTTTTCATCAACATTTTTAACAAAGTAAATTTTCTGTAACTCACTACGCTTTAGTTTTAATAAGTATTTTAATGTTTCTAAAATATAACGTGGAAAAAAACTGTTACATTTTAAATTTGAAATACAATTTTTTTTCGAATAATTTATAGTTCCACTGGATGAACATTTTATCAAGTAATCAACATTTTTTACATCGTGCATTTGATGTGACTTGTTAGGTTTCAGGTTGCCCATATCATAATATTCGATGCTATAATAATACTAAATTGAATAACATTGAACATATTTAAAACCCATAAATGATTTTTACGAGCACTTAAAGTTTGAAGAAAAATAAACGTTCAATAAACGACCACGCCGAACAGTTTGTTATCGCTTTCAAATTAAAAATAATAATATTGCATCTACGGCTTTCCACGCCGAGAAGGACGGACATATACCACCAGGCTTTTCTCAACAAT